ATGGCGGATATTTTTAAACATGACGTCACTAAGATGCCTTACAAGCCTATTGAGTGCACTCTTTTGGAAATACATATGGTCGGCTAAAAGAGCCTCACCCCTTCAGGCTTACAGACGAAACTAAAGTCCATGTTAAATAGGGTTAAAAATGTGAACCTGACGTGACTTTAATGCGTTTCGAGTATATTGATTTAGGTAATGGATATTGACTTCATTTCATCAGTTCCTTCTTACTGCACTAATATGTAACCAATAGCTTTGATGTGTTTGTCGCCATTATCTGGTGACTTCGCTGCCTCGTTTCCACAGGTGTTGGATTCATCAGGAAACCCTCTTGTACCAAACCCGATTCTGGAAGCACAATACCGGCAGCTAGCGCTGTCGTCACTAATGATACCTATTCTTGCTTTGGAATCGCCGTAATATGTATCACCCTTAACATTGAACCCCTCCCTGTTACAGTTAAGTTGCAATGAGGCCTGAGAACCAATCAGCTTCTTCCACGTGTTACGACCCAGTGAGGTGGCGCGGTATTGCCCGTCAGCGATCAGTGAGTACAGAGATTTGGCTTTCTTGTTGATGGCAATGAAGTTGATCTGTTGGCCGATCTTCATACCAAGACAGATCTTGGAGAAAGATGTATTCCAGTAGGTCGGTAACTTGGTCTCTTGTGAGTCAAACCCAGTCTCCCCTCCAGGAAGGTTGTATTCAGTTTTATTTCTCCAGTGCCCTGAGTTATAATGAAAGGTACTCTGAGGAGAAAAAGTAAAAACGTTCTGTTCATTTTAAAATATGAATTGCCTCTCGTATATAAAGAATGATGCTCATTTAATCATCTAACTTTGGAATTCTTACAAAGTACTGTTTTGGTGACTTCGTAAACATAACATTATGATGTAAACAATTTTCTGATCCAAACGAATCCGCAAAACCAAAGGATTGCGTGAAACATCAGACATTATGTTGAGAATCTCGACTAACTGAGCTGAGTTACTCCTGCTAAATCCCATCAAGAATATCGAGTTCATTTCATTTCACTTAAAAGTAGCCATTTAAGTTTTACAGATAATGTTTCTTGGCGTGTACGAGTAGAGAGTTGATTTAATGTGATACCTTGTTGCCGTCAATCTTCATGACCGGTGTCCATCCTCCATCTCCACATCCAAAATCTCCCATGTGACAGAGAACAGGAATTGGTTTTGAGTCAATGTGGAGCGTAACCAGCTGACTGACGCTGGACCTGTTGGATGTGAATAATAACAAAAGCTATTGAATTAAAGAAACTTGAGATTGAGTTGAAATAAATGTTCACTGGTTTCAACACTTTTTACTTGTTAATATAATATTTAGAGCTTAAATAGATAGTTTGCTTGTTTTGTCTGAGAACTCGTGTAAATATGACGGCGGCAATTCAAATTTAATTTAAAACTCTCCTGTATGGTTCAGAATGTTGGCGCTTAACGGAGAAGGATTTATCAAAACTCTCTACTCTCTACACGCAAGAGGAGCCGCCCTAAGATCACATGGCGCCAGACGGTGGAGAAGGAAATCAAGGAGATGTGGAAGACCACGGAAGGCATCAAGTTTATGGCAAGGGACCGACAGATGTGGAGGGAACATATTGCTGCCCTACATGCCACTTAGGTGTAAAGGGCATGAGTGAGTGAGTGAGTAACACAAATTTAAAGTTCATTTATCTGAATTTGAAGTTGATAAAGGGAGCGAGTTTAAATCGTTAGTCCTTCCATAGTTAATAGAAGGGAATGGTTATGAAAAACTACAAAGTTCTTTGTTGTATGTTTTTGTTCACTTTTTTGGCCTTGACCGTGCAAAAAACACAATAGTTGTTTATTCCGCACTGAGGAACTAACCAATAGAAACGTGTTGGTTACGTAATTCATTCATAGTGTATAAGCGCAAAACAAAAGATTATGTACGATCGTGGACTTTCCAACATAAATCTTGGCATCTCTGTTTGCTCTTTTGATGTTTGCTGGGCTTCATAACCAGTCCCCTCTATTAACTATGGTCCTTCGTCTAAAAAACGTATTATTATCATATAGCCGTGTCTCGCAAGGACTGGAAACTATCAAATTCACGGGGTGCGAATATGATTGGCTTAAATCGATAGTGACCGCAGTCTAGATTTTCCCTTCTAGACCGGTATCTAGATCATTCTACCTTTTGCTTTCGTCCTGAGAAAGTTGCAAACAATAAATACAAAATCAATTGCTTTATAGGTGGCCACATTTTGTGAAAGCTGGTTTGTTTTTAGGGCTGTTTTCAAAGTTTACCTCAACGCTCTAATTAGGAACAACTAACAGTTAAGTTTAAAACGTAGTGTTTCACAAACGCTTTCAATTTCCATCGTTATTACTTAAATAGGAAATTACTTAATCGTAATTGGCTGAGAGCGGGCCAATCTATCGAAAACTTTTAATTTGCCCCCAGTGCAAATAAACGCGCGTGAGTTCGAACTTTTCTTAGTCAGATATTAAATAAGTAATCGTATGATTCACTCTAGCTACTCGTGATATATTTCAAAATTGTTAAAAATTGCATTCGCCTAAAGGCTCGCACAATTTTGAGAGAATTTTCTAATATCACGCGTAGTGTAACTGCTTAACTGAACACGCATTCATACAATTACCTAGAATGGAAATAAGAAAAATAAGAACTAAAATAAGGACTCTTGACCAATGGTAATCATGAGAACATCTTTAAAATGTCTAACATTTAAAATTATTGACATACTTGTATACTTCGTACAGTTCTTTGCATGACGTCACAGCTGCAAACAGAAAAAAATATGATATTTGATTATTAGAACAACTGATGCTTAATAGTTGGTTTTCATATCAGGCAAATGATTGCTACGATCACTGAAACAAGTTAAGCTGATCATTGCGCAGACCATATGGAAACAACTCTCCAGCAAACGTAACGATCGTTGGTTGATCCAGGTTCTCTCTTAGACAG